TTCAGGCTTTCCGTGGTGCGCACTGGAATGGGGCTCCGGAGGCTGCAGCGCAGCCGTCGTTAGATGTGATTGTTTTAATTAGCAAGCGCCGGGCAGCAAGTAGAGCTTGGGGCTCGCTGCGTGTGATGCTCATTTCCGCCCTCTCTTCTTCCCTCCGTCAGAATTACAACGGCGTCTCGGACGTGGAGCTGCGGGTGGCGTTGCCGGACATAACCACGGTGACAGTCAGGGTCAAAAAGAACAGCACTACGGACCAGGTGTACCAGGTGAGCCGCGGCTCTGTTCGCCTCGACTGGATTTGTTAGCCGAGACCCCGTGGGCTCCCGCTCCCCGCTCCCCTCGCTGGGCACCGGCGCCACCGCCTTGCCGCAGCGGAGGGGACAGGGCCGCTGGAGAGCTCTGGCCTTACGCCCCGCTGGAGCAGCGTTTGTGCCGCAGGCTGGGCTGCAAGGGCAGAGTCGTCGCCGAATTGATTTTCACCGATGGCATCTTAAGGCTGGCGGGTGGCTCCGAGCGCCGGACGGGTTGTGCGGCGCGGCTCGCGGTGCCTGCGGCGTGGAGGGGTCGGATCCACGAGCTGCGGCCAACACTGCGGCCAACACACGAGTCCCACTGGCAGGATGGCGAGTGGGATATTAGGGATAAGGAGCCTTTTTGGACCCCCTGGGTGGAGGACAGGGCTGCGAGTGCTTTAAGTGGAAAAGTAAGTCCAACAGGCTCCAGCCAGCGCTGCAGGAGGAAAAGCGGAAGCTGTCCATGAGTTAGGAGGAATAAGGTGATGCAGGGGAGACCCATTTTGAAAGGGGAGCTAAAAATGTCGCTGTGAGCGAGGGAGCCTGGGGGTTTTGCAAAAGAGCAGGTGCTCGGGAGCACAGGATCCGCACAGCGGAGTGGGATCCACCTGGCAGAGTCCAGCCAGCGAGATCCACGTGGTGGAGTCCAGGCAGTGGGATCCGCACGGCAGAGTCCGGCCAGTGGGATCCACACGGTGGAGTCCCTGCGTTGGGGGCACAGCCTGTTGAATTCCACGTCGCCTCCGCCGAGGTCTGCGAGTTCAGCTGTGGCACTGGCGGGCAGGAGCGAAGGGTCGGAGGAGGCTCCGAGGGGAGGCACGCGCTCCTCTCCTGGTAGGGACCGAAGCCGGAGGCGTCGGAAGGAAAGACGACCTGATGGTCAGCCGCGATGGCGCTTAAAATCCAGAGCAGCTCCCGGGGAGGTGGAAGCAGGAGAGTCCAAGCCCTCACTTAAGAAAACATCTGGTTTTATTGGAAGGGTAAAATCCAGGTTTTCCGTGGTGACTAACACTAATACTTGGGAATGCGCTGTACGGCGCGGGACGGGCAGCTGCCGGCTCCTGTTCCGCTCACCCCTTTTCCCGTTGGGTTGCTCCGTAGGCCGTGGCTGCCAAGGTGGGAATGGACAGTATTACTGCAAACTACTTCGCCTTGTTCGAAGTGATCAACCACTCCTTCGGTAAGTCCCGTCGTCCCTGTGGTCCCCACCGTGCCGTGGGGGCCGGTGGTGGGTGGTACGGCAGCCGGGCTGTGGTCACGGGTGATGCTGCTGGCGCTGCGCGGGGCTGTGATCTTACCTCCGTGTCCTGCGCTTCTTCCAGTGCGCAAACTGGCGCCCAACGAATTCCCCCACAAACTCTACGTGCAGAACTACACCTCGGCGGTGCCGGGAACGTGCCTGACCATCCGAAAATGGCTCTTCACTACAGAGGAGGAGATTCTTCTCAATGACAACGACCTGGCAGTCACCTACTTCTTCCATCAGGTAGGAGCCCGAGAGCTGTCACTTTTCACTGGAGGTACGGCAACCCGGGCTCCCAGAACTGCCCTGGACACCGCTGTGTAAAGCCAGTCTAGGATGACCAGCTCAGAAGTGGACAACTTCTGAAGTCCTCCTAGACACCTGGGTGTCTGTAGGCTCCCCAAGGCAGTCAGAGGCTCACGGCAGGAGTTGGCGAGTGCGAAGAACCGCCCCGCTTCGCTTCTGGGGCTGGGGATTTGGGCGGCTGCTCAAACAGCCCTGGGGCCAGCCAGGGAAGGCAAAGCGCCGTGACTCAGCAGAGATCCTCCAGCCTGACCTCCTGGGTTTCCTTTCCCTTTTTCTGTTCAGGCTGTTGATGATGTCAAGAAAGGCTACATCAAAGCAGAGGAGAAGTCCTACCAGTTACAGAAGCTGTGTGAGCAGAGGAAGATGGTCATGGTGAGTTATCCTGCCTGTCCTCTTTGCTTTCCCTCCTGTCGGCAACGCTGTGCCTGCAGAGGAGAATATGGAACAGGCTGCCCGGAGAAGCTGGGGCTGC